TAGTGCAATTGGGTCCCCTAAAAAAAAAAAGAAGCTCCATTCAAGTCCCCTAAACTGGTAACATTGTTCAATTAAGTCCAATATGACTTGTTTATCAGGTTAAATTGATATGGTGTTGACATGTGTCATTTTTATTTTATTTTTTAAAACAAATGTTTTTTATTTATTAAAAATTAAAAATATTATTATCATAAATTAATTAATTAAAATAATAATAATAATAATTTTTTTAAAAAGCCACCGACTGTCCACGCCGGACAGCCGGTGGCTATCTTCCTTCTTCACGCCGGCCATGGCCGACAAAGGAAGACGACTATGGCCGACGAAGGAAGACGGCCATGGCCGACGAAGGAAGACGGCCACGGCTGTCTGTGAAGAAGGAAGACAGCCACCGGCTGTCCGGCGCCAGACAGTTGGTGGCAGTTTTTTTTTTTTTTTTTTTTTAATTTGTAATTATTATTATTATTTTAATTAATTAATTTATTTATAATAAATAATATTTTTAATTTGTAATAAATAAAAGCATTTGTTCTAAAAAATAAAATAAGAATGACACGTGTCAATAACATATCGATTTAACCTGATAAACAAGTCATATTAGACTTAATTGAACAATTTTTACCGATTTAGGAGACTTAAATGAAATTTTTTTCACTTAAGAGATCCAATTGCACTATCTTCTCAACTTAGAGGGCCAATTTGACACTGTTCCCTTATAATAAGAACAATAGAAGGATTGAGACAACCATTACCAAATCAAATTAATTTGGTTGTTAACCAAATCGATTAAATTAGACGGAATAAGTGATTTTTACCGGATACATGCACAATTGCACACCCAAACCATATGGTGGAGTCGTGGAGAATTTAATATCACATCAAAAAAAGAGAATTACTCAACAACAACAATGCGAAGATAATATTTTGATATTTTTGGAGGAGTGTGATTGGCATATTGAGTGAGATATTTATTATTTTTCAGAATGAAATAGTAATATTTTTACAGAAATCAGCGGCTTTAAAAGTTTTTCTATAATGGCATAAAAAAGTATTTTGGTCCCAGGTGACTAAGTTATATATCTAAATTCCTAATACTGCAAAACCCTCTCCGCCTTCTCTTCTTCTCCCTTGAGTTTCAATCTTTTAAGCGCCACCATGAATCCCTCAACGCTCAGGCTTGACTCGTCCGCAATCTACGCGCCGCCGATTCCTCCTCCGTATCGGAGTGGGGGTCAAGGCTGTAGGTTTCTCCCGCTTCAGCTAAGGAAGATGGCGGCCCCTGCTTTTTCTCTCACGGTGTGCTCTGCCAAGCAAACGTCGGCTGTGGTGGAGTCCGGGGAAGCAACCGAGTCGAGACTGAGTCGGATTGAGTCGCTTAGCCAGGTCTCCGGTGTTCTGGGGTGCCAGTGGGGCGATGAAGGTAAAGGCAAGCTCGTTGACGTTTTAGCTAAGCATTTTGACGTCGTCGCTCGTTGTCAGGTATGTATTGGTTGTCTGTGTAATATGAAGCATTTATTGAATATTGTGTAAAGCTCATTACTGGTTGATTGATTGTGTACTTCTATAGTTTTTGAAGTTGATGGCTTAAGTTAAATTTGTGAACCTGTTACTTGTTTATATAAACCCTGTACGGTGGAATTAATATATTGTTTTGGTTGTTTAAATTCAAATTGGAAGTTAAAATGCAGAAAATTTGTTGCTTTAGCTGACATCAATATCTAGTTGTCAAGCAATTAGTTGTTCTGAAATTCTGCCTAGGCCTTACCAACCTCGGCTTTCGATTTCCTCAATCGAAGAAACAAAGCATTCTCTACTATATATATATATATTCTTAATACTAGGATTTACTTGCTTTCAGGGCGGTGCTAATGCTGGGCACACCATCTACAATTCAGAGGGGAAGAAGTTTGCACTTCACCTTGTTCCCTCTGGGATTCTTAACGAGGAGACTATTTGTGTCATTGGTAATGGAGTAGTGGTGCACCTGCCAGGACTTTTTAAGGAAATTGATGGCCTTGAAGCGAATGGAGTCTCATGCAAAGGAAGGATCTTGGTGTCTGATCGGGCTCATCTTTTATTTGATTTTCATCAAGAAGTGGATGGGCTCCGCGAGGCTGAACTGGCTAAATCGTTTATTGGCACCACAAGGAGAGGAATTGGGCCTTGTTATTCAAGTAAGGTGATTAGAAATGGCATCAGAGTAGGTGACCTGAGGCACATGGATACTTTCCCTCAAAAGCTTGATCTTTTACTATCAGATGCAGCTTCGAGATTTCCTGATTTTAACTATGGTCCTGACATGCTCAGGGATGAAGTTGAACGATACAAAAAATTTGCTGAGAGGTTGGAACCTTTCATAACTGATACAGTTGATTTCATGAGTGAAACTATTTCTCAGAGCAAGAAGATTTTAGTGGAAGGTGGTCAGGCTACTATGTTGGACATTGATTTTGGAACATATCCCTTTGTGACTTCCTCAAGTCCTTCTGCTGGTGGAATCTGCACAGGTTTAGGCATTGCTCCTAGGGTTGTTGGTGACCTTATCGGAGTGGTAAGTGAACTTTACTAATGCTATCATTCATTTAAATGAAAGAATATACCATTCTCATCATGTTCAAACATGCTAGATACTCCAAGCTATTCATTTTATGATGCTTAAAGCATATTGATGTCCTTTATAATGCTATACTATGTATGACTTAAGATTTTTTGGTAAGCGTTTATAACTTGTGATACCCTTGCGAGGGAGCTAGCTTTATGAATCAATAGTATGCCACTTTGAGTCATGACAACTGTTGTTCTTTGTTATCTATCAAGTGGTCGTGGATTTTGATGAATTGACTTCTTCAGGTTAAAGCATACACCACAAGGGTTGGTTCAGGTCCTTTCCCAACAGAAATCTTGGGTAAAGGTGGTGACTTGCTTCGGTTTGCTGGGCAAGAGTTTGGAACAACAACTGGTCGCCCTCGTCGCTGTGGCTGGCTTGACATAGTTGCTTTGAAATACTGCTGCCAGATAAATGGATTTTCCTCTCTGAACCTCACTAAACTTGATGTATTATCAGAACTTCCAGAAATTGAGATTGGTGTTTCTTACAAACAACTTGATGGTTCACCAATCAGATCATTCCCTGCAGATCTTAGAATCCTTGATCAAGTTAAGGCAAGTGTCTTCTCTTTCTTTGTTTCTTTTCTTCTCATGTTTTTATTTTTATTTTTATTTTTTTAATCCTTGTCTTGTATTTGCCTGAACTTTGGTATTCCAAAGTGAATGCCCTTTCATCATTATTCTAAACAAATGATCTGAGTTTTCCATGTACCCACTCTCTACATAATTCCAGATTAAGGGGTTTCTGTTGTGTTATCAGTTTTTCTTCGTTTCTGGTTTAATTTGTACACTAAGTAGCTATAATTTTGTGCGCTATAGGTGGAATACGAAGTTTTGCCTGGTTGGAAGTCTGACATTTCCTCTGTCCGAAAGTATTCTGAACTTCCTTCAGCTGCACGACAATATGTAGAAAGGATAGAGGAGCTTGTTGGTGTACCTGTCCATTACATTGGAGTTGGACCCGGACGCAATGCCCTGATATACAAGTGATTTTAAGCTCAAACTTTTTATCACCAAAGTTGATTCTAATATCATGGAGGACAGGTTGTGGCATCCTTTAAGCCGGTCAGCCAAACTTTTATTCATCTTGGGAATATCAATTTGACACCACAATGTTGTACTATCAGTCATGCGGTCTTCATGCATATTCAGAGACCGATCATTACTTATGCTCTTATGAGTTTCCTTTCATTTTCTTTGTAAGTTATTGTTATCTTTCAAGCTAAACTTTAGATGGTATTGGCGTATTGCTGCTTAAACGCCTCCAATGCTTTACTTATTAAATAAAGGAGATTTCTGAGCTGATTCAACAAATGAGTATTTCTGATTAACAATTTTAGGACTTCTATCTTATCAGCAAATGATTCAATTTTCTTTACCTTTGAGCTATGTTCAAGTGTAGCATTTGTTGTTTCAGTGTAATATTTAATTGTCACTAGCTCATATATGACATTAACTCAATTAAAAAAGAAGAAGAAAAGATTGCCTGCAAATTGGTAGTTTGCTACCATGAGGCATTTTATGTCATCTTGATCTGTACTGCTGTTTTTGCTTTAACTCAATCCACTATTTATAAACGTGCTCAAAATTATGTTCATGAAAATCAAGATTCATCCACATTTAGATAAGTTCAAATAGCAATGTCAACTAAGAAAATATGAAACTGTACACGTAATGGTCAAGAAGTTTCAATGTAACAAAAAATTGTGGTTCAGAGACGCACCGCCAACAAAGATGGTTTGAAATGGTACACCTAATGGTCAAGTTGTTCATGTCGCTTTTGCGTTTCCTTTGCAAATGCTGTTCCATTTATCTTTGAGGTCTACAGTACTACCTTAAATGGAAAACATAATAGCCTCCAAATTCCAAAATATTCTTCCAGGAAATACTTTGATCGTGAGTGCTGAGTATTTCTGGCTTTCTGCAGACCCTCCTGCGTCATAAATTCATTGCACTAAAGTACCAGGGTAAGGGATGTCCAACTTTATCTCTGTTTTCAGGAAGGTTCCCAACACTACAATTCATGCCCCAATGGTCGATAAGGAAGAGCTTAGCCACTATACAAAATACAAATCTCAACCTTTGAACGAAAGATGATATTAGAGAGGAATATTTTACCTTCAATGTTTCCTCCTCGTCTTCTGTACAATGTAGCTTCTTTCGCCTTGATTAGGGGTGTAAAATAAAGAGGCTGACTAGCTTGCTGGAGGTCGCCCAGTGTCAGTTCACATAACTAAACCAATCTTGAACATATTTAGAAAGTAAGAAGAAAGGATATGGGAGAGAAAACAGGAGGGAAGAGAAAATCAAATACTAAAGATGGAAAAAAAGGAAGAGCTCTAGACACCATATAAAGAACCTGATGATTTAAATAAAGGGAAAAAAAAAAGCAATTAGTACGAATGAATCATACTATCAGTCTGGTTTTCTGAACTGCATAAGAATATTTGGAAGCTGACCTTGTTCGAAGAACTTTTGCTGATTGTCACATCATTTTCAGATGATTCATCATCTTGCTGTGGCCGGTTTTGTCTCAACTTGCCTGATCTTGGGGATAAGTGTTTAGGTGATTGTTTGATTCCCAATCCAAAAAAGGACTTCAGATCATTCCTTGCATGTGGCACCTTCTTCTTAACTTCCAGGTACTTAGAAATTGCCTGAGAATATGCGCAAAAAGGGCAGTAAAATCCTCCTGCCTTATCTAGGATGGGAACAGAGCCCAAACAGCTATCATGGACCATTACTGGACAGGTTTCAGAACTACAGACCAACAGTTTGCCATCTTTATTACACTTCACACAAAGATTTAGCTCTTTAGAGTCAGCAGTTGCAAATGAATCTGGACTATTTGTGCATTGTGAGCTCAAGAAAGCACTCTTCTTTTTAGCTATTTCAATCTTCTCTTCGTGATAACCATCACTATCACTACAGGACTCTGCTTCAGGATTATGCTCAATGTTATCTCTGACTTCATTAGTGGGTCCACCATTTGATGAATCCTGTGAAAGATAATGCTGCAACTTTACTTCAGCTTCATTGGAAAGAGAGTCCAGTTGTATTAAATGTTGCGTAAATCCATTTTCATTTCTTAATACATCATGAGCAGTCTCTTCGCTGGCTGCACTGACACAAATAATTTGAAAACTGTTGGTATCCTCCTTAGCATTTGTTCCATGAGGGACTTCGGTGTCACTATGATGAAGTTGCACAGCATGCCTATTGTCACAGCTCTTTCTGAGGTTTTTTAGAGCAGTATGCATGTTGTTATCATCCTTTGGAGGTTCGATTGCTAGTAAGTCCCCAGCTGTTGATTCCTTTTCAAAACTGTACCCTTCTTTTTCAATGTCTTGTGCAATATGCTCACCAATTTTATCAACAAGACAAATTACATCCTGTTTGTGTTTCTTGGTGCCCTCAGTACAAGGATAACAAGCATTCTCAGCCATAGTTTGCTCAACAGTGCACTTCCCTCCCTGAATATTAGCTGAAGAAGCAGGCTTGCTCCTCTTGGCAGGTAGAAGGTTCTTAGCAGGTAAAATTTTGCACTGACTGTGCCCATTACCTTGGCTGGAAGAGACCAAGTTTTCATTTGGTGTAGGAGGAATTATAGCACCCTCTTCATGTGTCTCTTTAGTGTCAATACAAATATCATTTGCATATTGATTCCCAATTGACAAGTTTTCAATTGGTGCAAGAGGTTTCCTAGCACTATTTTCTTGTATCTCTCTATCTGCAGAGATAATCTTTTCAGATTGATTCCCGGATGGCATTCCACTTCTTTCCTTTAATGGTGCAAAACAAGGATGACTGCCTTGAACAAACTTTTCCTTAAGCTGCTTGTAATGAAACAAAGTGCCAGCCATCTTTTTAAAAAAACACAAATATCTCAATTGAAGATACAAACCAGATAAACTAACCTTACCTGTAGCGAAGTATATTCTGGCAAGCGAGACCTTTTATGCATGACAAATGATTGAACAATCCATTCCAGCATCTCAGGTCCACCCATTTTCAACTCCGATATGGTTATCTGATTGTATTATCACCATTAGTTTACTTAGCACAATGCAAAAGTATAAAAGCTCATCTCCAAAGCTCAAATAACAATATGTGATGTATATATCACCTTTTGACAGAATGATGAAAGACGAGTTAATTCAGATATCATTACAAGAATCCATGTGAGGAAATGGCAAACAAGCAAAATTTCCAGTTTCCAGGATAAAAAATTGTAAATGAAATTACAAGTCAAAACTTGGCTAAGCAATAGTCAACAAACTCTATCAAAAATACACATGAAATGAACACCATCATGAACAAAACAAGTTCACCTGCAATTGCTATACTAGGAGCCCAATTCACATATCTATAGGAGACCTAATCAACATTTAGTTCAAAGGAGATCAACATTAGGATACAAAATATTTAGTTCGAACTTCATGAATGTTCAGCTCAAAGTTCAAACTCTATTAAAAAAAAAAGACTCACAGGCTCAGAGCTAATGATATAATGTGCAGCTTAGCAGAATCGTGACAATGAATGCATTTCTTACAAGCAAACTAACCAGAAATCATGAACATAAATAAGAAGGCTTAGCAATTAGCAGAACCTTAACAACGATCACATTTCCTTACGCATTGCAAGTTTTCAATCGTAAAGCAGCCATTTCTAAGCAAAAAAAAAAAAAATGTCATCGAGCAGAACTGATCACCAGAACCTTCATTCCATCATTCCTTACATAGACTCACTCTTACGATCTCAAAACTAAAATTCGGCATGAAATCGATTTAGACGATGAACTACGAGAGGATTGTAGGATAGGAATTTACCAGATAAAGTATTTCGTGACATCATACTAGCTACATAGCGATTGATTCACCTTTGATTTTGTTTTGCTCCCTTTTTACGGTCATCAGATTCTAATGAACAGGATAAACAAAACTGGTTGGGGCGAAATCGATATATATACATGATAAAAATAAACGTATACTACAGAAAACTGAAAAGGATATTATGGAGGGAAATTGAGGGTTGAAGTGTGAACTTTCAAAAATACTCCGTTATATAATTTTTTTTTTTAAAAAATAAATGATACCAAAACGAGAGATTAAATTCATAACAATTTGCCCAGGGACTAAATTCTTTAATATTAAAAATAATACAGAATTGTTGAGGGTCAAAAGTCTTGATTTTTTTCAAATAATTTTAAAAAAATATGAAATCGAATTGATTTATAAATATTTACAACATATGTCATGTGTTACTATAAAGTAACTTTAAAAATCATTTTTTTTTTCTAAAAGGTTGAATCCCCAACTCTAAAGGCTCTTACCCCTACACTCAGACCCGACAGAGCATTTGGGAGGATGTAAATTACGATTTACATACCTTTGAATCTTCTAAATGGACTAACTTGTTATATAATATGTTGAACTAACGGTATTCATATATTGTATTATTCAAATTTACACTTTATATGTGTTCTTAAGATATTTGCATACCATATGTTTTGAGAGTTGTTTTCATATCAAATTGTAATAATATCTCGAATAGATAAAATATATTTTGTAATTTAATAAAACTAAACTCATCATTTCAAAATTGTTAGAGTCACAAAATGTAACTATTTTTAATATCATATTTACTATTGAAGAATTTTTCAATCCCACATTTTCATAAACATTGTTTCGATGGAGAAACAACAAACAAAGAAATTAGCAAGTTCGTGACCAAGTTACTGTAATATGTACTACGTATCTTTTAACCAACCTAAAGGGGTAACTCAAATGACAAATAAATTTCTTTGTGGAAACAATTTTCGAGATAACCTGAATTTGATTTTCACAAGTGACAATTCCTCTTGGACCAGTGCCTCTCGGAGCGTTTCGAGATTCCTCATGATTTACACACAAATAAAATATGCATTGGATTTCTATGACATGATGAAAGTACAAAAGCATCAGAGTCTTAGGTAAGTGAATAAAGATGGAACAAGATCTACGACAGCCCAGCCGAGGCCGGTGTACTGAAGGAGTCGAATGCCTGTATCCACATCGAACGAGTCCTGTTGGGAGAAAAAGAACAATTTTTGCAGATAACCCGAGGCAGGCTTTGTTTCATCCGACTTCTTGGTGATGGCAGAGCTGCTTAGCCCCGGGACATAGCTCGTTGATCTTACCGGGAGGCTCAGGGCGTTGGCGAGCATGGGTAGCATCCATTTCGCGAGAGCCTTGCTGCAGAACTTCACTAGGAGTATTGTTGGTATTCCCACTAGCATTCTACTGACAAATGCAGGGATCGAGAGCTCAGTAAAGACCTTTGGAACATCTTCATGGTGAAACTGATGGTAAGTTTGCTGGATTCCAGATACCTGGCAAAGAATTTTCGTAGATTCGAACACTATTAATAAGGTGCTCGTAAAACTCAAGAAAGCGGGAAAGTAAAGCTCTTCACTTTGAAACAATTGAAGAGCACATACTTACAATTCCCAAAGCAACACCGTTGAAGGCTGTATGATATTCGAAACTTGGAGTAGGCTGCTCCGGGGTTGGATAGGCAAAGAGCAACAAGAAGGTTAGTGCGCTCCAAAAGGATGTAACTGCAAAAAGGCAAAACTTCTTAATAATGTAAAGGAATCATCAAAATTCATACGTAGCAATACGAAAAGCATATTAGGAAGGAATGAACTTAAAATTAGTGGATGATGAATATTGAATAGGATCCATACCATTTTGTCCTGAAACTATGAAATCGTCTAAGTAATTGTGAACAGAGAGCCAAAATGCCAGGATTGCCAGTCCAAAAGCTAGACCTCCAATAATGTCAATCAAGCTGTGCATCCCAAGGTATATTCTCCCTAAAAATGAAACAAATTTCAGCTCGAACTCTAAAGAATTGTAGCAAGCAAGAATCATATATTCATATCAAAGACACGAGACTTACCTAAGCCAATCAGGCCCACAAGTAAGCAAACAAGGGCAATTCCTGCTATCTCCGTGGAAAGATCTTCGTTCTTGGTATGGGATAAGACATAGTGCAAAAGGTACCTGAGTTTCCAAAGAAAGAATAGGAATACATTAAACGACGCCCATAGCAAAACTAAGGGATGGCACTATATATTCCATTAAGTCCACACAGAAATGGCATTGTCTAAGAAGTTTATAGGACCAGGGTCAAGAAGGTAAGCACTATGCCACAGGATTCATTTACCAAGAATATATGAACATCTAGCAAATCCTACGATCTTTTTGGTACACCAACGAAGACAGATAAATGAGCAAAATATGAAGGAATTTGGTAGCTCAATACCCGGACAAGCAGATAGTATTAAGAGTGTGCGAAGAAGGCATTCCATATTCCAATGCATTTTCTTTCTCATCTTCCGTGGCAGTTATTCTCCTAACAGGCGGTGAAGTAGGTCTAGGGGCCGACACCACATCCTGCAAAGAACAATAATGTATTCAATCATAAAACATTAGCATAACAGTAAATGAAGTTATACCCCCAAAAAGATGATCATGTATGTGAGTGAAGCTTTTTTGGTCGAGGTGTCCTGAACAGACCCTAACTGTAAGAGGCACCTTTAAGCCCGTACCATACTCAAACTAATCTCGTTCGCACCAGACCGGCCCAATTAAGGGCCAAAGTGCTTGCCAAATTGATTTGGTTCGAACTTCCAATCTCTCTCAAGTAATACCCCAAAGAAGATGATCATGTGAGTGAAGCTTTTTTGGTCGAGGTGTCCTGAACATGCCCTAACTGTAAGAGGCACCTTGAAGCCCGTATCATATTCAAACTAATCTCGTTCGCACCAGGCCGGCCCAATTAAGGGGCAAAGTGCTGGCCAAATTGATTTGGTTCAAACTCCCGATCGGGAATGCACAGCCACTCACGCCAACCAAGCTGGTTTCATGTGAGTGAAGTTGAAAGTGAAGAAAGAAAGTACCTTTATACAGTTGCCCATATAATCACAGAAAGCCATCAAAAGGGTCATCTGCCGAGCCAATTTAGAATGCCCACTCTGCAATACAAAAAACAACAAAAAAGTTGAACCAATCAAACTCTTAAACTGTTAGATAATAGTTCTACTTGTATTCTCTTCCCCAGAGGGAGGGATAGATAGCGTACCCAGAAGAGAAAGGGAAGAAACGCGGTGTAGAAAGGCACAGAAACGCTACAAGACAACCCAGAAAAGAAGCCATCCAAATACCCATGCTGGTATTTCTACAACACCAAAAACAAAAAGGAAGATCATCAAAACCATAATTCAAATAATATAACCAGAAGATAATGTCCAACAGAATTGATATGGGATTTCCACGCATATACATGAACAAAATACTAGGAGCAAAAACCTGGATCTGCAAAGAAATGGGGGTGCCGGAGACCACTTGGCGAGAAACCCAGGGTTGAGTGAGAGATCTAATCTTCTGGGTCACATTAAAAATTGAAGAAATCACAACCCACGAAGCTAATCCTCCCAGAAACAGCCCTTGCCATTGCCACCCAGCAACACTCTCCATTACCAACGACTGAAAATTTCTTCTTCTCTCAAGAATTCAAAATTGACAAGTTGACCCGGGAGGAGAAGACCTTAAAGATTCTATTGGGCTTCTCCGAATACTGTTAGACCAACATAATTGAAGTGAAACCAAATTCAAAAGTGGGAGCTGGACTCCATCAGAAGAAGAAGGGTAGCCGGCGATCCTCTCTTCTTATTCATCATTTTCCTTTTATTTTAATCAAGATTTTTTCCGGGATGGGTTGTTGTTTTATGTGGACCCTCATCCTCGTAAGATTTGGTTGGCGGAGAAAAGTCCGTTTACACAGTTTGGAATCTTCATAGGTTCCGACCTCATAACGTCTTTTGGTTTGTCAAAGTTTGACCACGTTACTCACGCCAGCAAGATGCAAGAACATTACAGTGAAGATTAAAGAAGACTCCTTTATACAATTTTACGAAATCTATAAACCAAACTTTATAGTAATTTCCGTCCATCAAAATCTCTTATTTAATGCAATGCATAAAG